CCCCTTGTCCCTTCCTGCCCCCGGGTGCCCTTTCCCCCAGTACTGTGCTACTCTGGGGTCCTTTGCTCTCAGGAAACCCCCAATTCCTCTACACCCACCGCCAGTCATCATCTAGCCCCTGCCTCGGGGGCAAACTGCAGCCTGAAAGGGCCACTCAGCACTGGCAAGGGGATGTGGACCTGCGGCCTTTTTCGATCCTGGCTGCCCCCCGCCTGGCCCTCTAGTGCTCACAGGCCCTGCAGCCTAGCAGTGAGGCCAGGCCAGGCCTCCCTAGCACTGCTCTGTCTCAAGAAGCCTCTCGCATCCCTGGCAGCCAGGTGCCTCCTGCTCCCCAGCTCGAGTGTCTGTTCTCCTGCCCTCCAGCAGCCCTTATTTATACAGCCCCAGCTGGGCCCTAATCAGCTGTACCTGCTTCCATACTCTCCGGGCTGGGTTTTAACCCTTAAAGGGCCGGTGCAGGGCAGACGCCCCATCACAAGACCTAAGAGCATACTGGGGCTTCCCAAACAACTGGCCCAGGACTGGGACCCCGCCGAGACCCTGTTTCTTGCACGGGCACAGATCTGCTGCGTGACCCCCAATGAAGGCACTTTGCCCCTCTGTACCAATCTCCATTCCCATCCGGCACCCGCCCTTAGCTGGGAGCTCTTCAGAGCAGGGCCTCTCCCATTGCGCAGCGCCTAGCACGGTGGGGCCGCTTGGGCACAGCCTCTTGCTCCCTGCTCCCAGGAGCTTAGGGTCAGAAATGAATAGGCCTGCGGAAGTAGGAAGGCACGATTCAGCGTGAGCCAGGGTATTGGGCACAGGCGCAAACAGCCTGAACAGACAATGTCAGGAGATGACGCCCTGGCGTTTTGCTCCCCTCAAGCCACCCCAGCTACAGGCAAGCCAGCTGGCTTCTCTTCCTCCCTGCACCTCAGCAACCCGTTCGCTGGCCGAGTTCCAGTCGGGGAGGGCGAAATTTGGGGCGTGGCAACTTGATTCCTAGGGATAAGGTGAAAAGGAAAGAGCCCGGCTTGGCGCTCTGCTTTTGGGCAGGGAAAAGAATCTTGTCTTGTCAGGTGAGCGTTGGGGAGTTTTGGAGACACACACGTGGAATGGGACCAGTCTCGGGGCGGACTGACGGGAACCGGCTGCCCCAGGCAAGGCCAGGAGGCCGTGTGGAAGGACACACGTGTAACCAAATGAGATGGCAACCGCAATCCAGGGCTACTTGTCTTCCAGCTCCTTGGCTCAGCCAGCGAGCGCCACTGTGCCCCAGAAAGAAGCTGGGAGTGATTTAACGCTGAGGTTGAGGGTTCACCTCCCCTCCCCTCCATGAAGGACACTGCAGCGCTGAGGGAGTAGCACAGCTTAGCTGGGAGTCCTGGGAGTTTATGACTGACAATGTTACACATCACAATCGTGTCCCGCTCCTTGTCTCGACAGTGGCCAGCACCAGGTGCCCCAGAGAGGGTGGACCGAAGACAATGATCAAGCGATTTGTCTCCTGCCATCCCTCTCCAGCCTCTGACAGAGGCCAAGGACACCATTTTATCCCCTGGCTAATAGCCTTTTATGGACCTAACCTCCATGAAATTATCTAGCTTCTCTTTAAACTCTATTATAGTCCTAGCCTTCACCGCCTCCTCTGGCAAGGAGTTCCACAGGTTGACTACACGCTGTGTGAAGAAGAACTTTCTTTTATTAGTTTTAAACCTGCTACCCATTAATTTCATTTGGTGTCCTCTAGTTCTTCTATTATGGGAACTAATAAATAACTTTTCTTTATCAGCCCTCTCCACACCACTCATGATTTTCTATAGCTCTATCATATCACCCCTCAGTTTCCTTTTTTCTAAACTGAAAAGTCCTAGTCACTTTAACCTCTCCTCATATGGGACCCGTTCCAAACCCCTAATCATTTTAGTTGCCCTTTTCTGAACCCTTTCCAAGGCCAAAATATCTTTTTTGAGGTGAGGAGACCACATCTGTACACTGACAATTATGAGTGACAATTAGTTACACATCACAATCATGTCCCGCTCCTTGTCTCAGAAGATCCTGAGTGGAAGGGTGCACCCCCAAAGATGAAACAGCTGGGGACCAGGTGTTGGAGCAGTCACCACAGCGCCTTGCTAACGCAGTCCATGGCCTATGATTTCGCAGGTTTTAGAAACAAAACAGCTGATTTGCTAGAGGTCTGCAGCTTTGCTGAAATCCCAAGCCATATTCCCGTCCCCTTGCTGATTTATCACTGGAAGGCAAACCCCCTGCTCAAACCTGTAGTTATGCTATTGGGCTTCATATGGTCAGCTACACCCCCCCCCCTCCAGCAAACCTGCCCCACTTCCTCAGCGCTTAGGCCTCGCAAAGGGAGTTGACGTTTGAATCACCCGAGTGACGCCAGAGCTGAGTGAGCGGAGATGCTGCCAAGTGCAAAGGCCAGAAGTCTAAAATTTACAAACCCAGCAACAGCCGGAGTCTAGAGCAGGCTAGTAGGTTAAAGTTCAGCTCTACTTTTCTGCTCCAACGGCTGACTGCCGCAATTATGGTGTTTGTTAAAACAATTTTATGGTAACTTTGCCCTGAGATAGTGTGGTTTTTTGTTTAAAGTAGGTGCCTCACATGCAAACGGAGAAATATTAGCTTGACTCCCATCTCATCAAGTGGTTGGATCGGGTAGCTGGAAATCAGGACTCCTGGGTTCTCTGACCAGATGTGGGAAAGTCAGAGGAGTGAGCTCCCGGCGGCTGATTCTGTCCAGCACCTGGTGATGTGTTTTAGGTCGCTGGCACCATTTATTTATTTAAAATATTTTTACCCTGTCTCTCTATCTAAAGTATTCTGTGCCTCAGTTTCCACAAGTAAAAAAGGGAGCAGGATAGAAAACGACCTACCTGCTGAGGCATTGTGGCTGTGTCTACAATGGCGCGAGCTTGCGCAAAAGCAGCTGCTTTCACGCCAAAACTTGCTGCCTGTCTACACTGGCCGTGAGTTCTTGCTCAAGAACACTGACGTTCTAATGTATGAAATCAAGGCTTCTTGTAGAAGAACTATGATGCTCCCACTCAGGAATAAACCCTTTTGTGCAACCGTTCTTGCGCAAGAGGCCAGTGTAGACAGGCACCGTGAATTACTTGCGCAAGAAAGCCCGATGGTTAAAATGGCCCTCGGAGCTTTCTTGCGCAAGAGTGTCTACACCAGCAAGGATGCTCTTGCACAAAAGCACATCCTTTGCGCAAAGGCACATGCCAGTGTAGACGCTCGCTTTTGCAAGAGTTCTTGCACAAAATCATGCCAGTGTAGACGTAGCCCCCGAGTTTTAATCCCTGTTGGGCAAGGGGCTAGAGGCGGACATAAGAATATTACACCTCCGCTTCTGGCTCTCAGAGAAAAAAAATGTAGGTGGCAGCGTGCTGTGTAGGGGAAAGGGGAGGAATCCCCAGATAGGAAGGAAAGGGAGCCCAGCGTGGGTGGGGATCCGCTGAGACAGCGACAGTCTGTGGTGCTGCCAGGTGCCAATCCTGCATGGATCGCAAGGCCTCTGTCGGAGCAGCTGCATCATGGCTACCCAATTCCCTTTGGCTGTGTCTACACTGGACCACTTATTCCGGAAAAGCAGACGCTTTTCCAGAAAAAGTGGCCAGCTGTCTACACTGGCCGCTTGAATTTCCGGAAATGCAATGACGATCTAATGTAAAATCGTCATTGTTTTTCCGGAAAAACTATGCTGCTCCCATTCGGGCAAAAGTCCTTTTTCCGGAAAAGCTTTTCCGGAAAAGGGCCAGTGTAGACAGCCCAGTAGTCTTTTCCGCAAAAAAGCCCCGATTGCGAAAATGACGATCGGGGCTTTTTTGCGGAAAAGCGCGTCTACATTGGCCACAGACGCTTTTCCGCGAAACGTGCTTTTGCGGAAAAGCATCCTGCCAATGTAGACGCGCTTTTTCCGAAAATGCTTATAATGGAAAACTGTTCCGTTTTAAGCATTTCCGGAAAAGGGTGCCAATGTAGACGTAGCCTGAGTTCCATCCCAGTGCTGCCCGCCAGCCAGTCGTTTGACTTCCCATCAGCCAGAGCAAGGTGCGTCTCTGACCATCCCCCCCTTGTAGATGTTCCCCGGTGGGGTTCTCACTTGGCCACCCCTTTGGATTCTTGGTTGGCTGCATCAGGGACTCAAGCACAGGTCGTCTCTATGGCACAGATTGGGGGCAGAACGCCCATCACCTTGGCACCTGAGCCAGATTCGGATTGAGCCAGAGCTGGGTGCACAAAAGAGCAGTGGTGATAGTCACAGGGGCACCTGGAGCAGGCACACACCTACCCTTGGCCAAAATCGGTGGTGCAGGAGATGGCCACAGGCTAGCTAGTCTGTAGCAGGCTTTCAAGCCGACTGGACGTGCCCAGGTGGGGCAGTTGAGTTCATCCTCCTCCAAGGCAGAATTCCACGCAGGGCAGACTTGAAACGCAGGAGTCCACTCTGTGCGGCATGGCTAACGGGAGAGCCTTGCCCCTGTCCTGTCACGAGGGTTCGGTCGTTGTGCGCTGCAGTGCCTGGCTGCCTTGCTCCACCCCAGAGGTGGCTGCATTTCATTGATGCCAGCGGGGATAACGTGTGAGGCATCCTGGGATTTATGTGATGAATAGCAACCTCTGAATGCAGAATTAGTGCTTGCCAGCGTGCACGGAGCAGGGAGAGGAAAAGACACGGGTGGGAACAGATTTAGGAAACCCAGGCTGGCTCCACTCTTCCTTCCTCTGCAGTGCCCTACTGGAGGGGGTAAATTCTACAGGGCTTGGCAAGGCAGATGCTTCTTCAACTTCCTGGGTTGGCAGTTCCCACCCTGCTATGTGCCAGAGACCGCTAGCACGGCCTGGGCCTCCCTGGCTTGCAGGCAAAGCCAGCCTGGCTCTTTGTACGGTGCCAGAGCTGTAGGCATGACCCTGCAAGCCGCAATTACGTCACCAATTGGCCCCACCCTCGAAGAAAGGCACCCCAGCCAGCAAAGAAAAACCCCAAACACAGTGAAAGCTTTTATTACCCCCTGACACCACCCCCATGCCAGCGGGGCCCTGGCTCACAGGCCCACGGAGGGAGTGCAGGGAGGACAGGCCTCGGGCCATCTGCTGCACTAACCAATGACATGGACGCTGTTCCTTGGCAGGAGAGCTCTTCCCCGCCCGGATCCTGCTCTGGTTGGAGGTGAGAACTCGGTGCAGGGCTGTCCACAGCTGGCAGCTCCGAGGGCTGCAGGGGCAACTCGGGAGGAGGGTGCAGGTTTCGAGATGTGCCCGTAGGCTCAGCTGGGGTTTCAAATCAAACTGTTGTGGTCTGCAGCTTGCAGCCAGGGCAGAGTGCGGCCTTCATGCTGTGGTGTGGGCACCTCCAGACTGCCTGCTTCTCCCAGGAAAGGGCGCCCGCTCCCTGCCGGGCCTGGGGGACCATCTCCGGGGCGGCAGGGCAAACAACCATCCCACGCAGCCCGCCTGGCGGGGCCAAGCGGCTTCAGGAGGAGCATGCGGCTTCCCACTGCCGGAATATCCGGAACACCTTGCAGGATTTTACCGAGAGGCTCTGCAACAAGAAGGAAACAAGGGGACAATCAGAGGTCGACTGACTCCAAGAGGACTCCTACAGCCATGTGAGGAGAGGGAGAGAGAGAACAGGCAGAGAAAGTGCTAGAGGACAGAACCACAGGGGCGTTCCTCCAAAGCTCACTCCTGCGGTGCAGGCACTAACCATTGGATAACCCTGTTTTATTGAAGGGGAAACTGAGGCACTGAATGGGGCAGTGACACAGTCCGAGCGAGGAGCAAAACTGAGATCCCCAGACCTGAGCTCTACGCACCAGCATACGCTTGTTCTGACACAAGCCCTTCATCTCGATCAAGTCCAACAGAGTTGGACTAGTCTCCACTTAGGAAGGAACAATCCGTGTCACATATACAGAATAGACTGTCTAGGAAGGATACTGTAGAAAGGGATCTAGGGGTTATAGTGAACCACAAGTTGAACATGAGTCAACAGTGTGACGCTGTTGCAAAAAAAGCAAACATGATTCTGGGAGGCGTTATCAGGAGCGTTGTGAGCAAGGCACGAGAAATCATTCTTCTGGTCTACTCGAAGCTGATTAGTCCTCAGCTGGAGTATGGTGTCCAGATCTGCATGCCACAGTTTAGGAAAGAGGTGGAGAAATTGGAGAATGTCCAGAGAAGAGCAACAAAAATGATTAAAATCTAGAGAACATGAGCTATGAGGGAAGGCTGAAAGAATTGGGCTTGTTTATTTAGAAAAGAGAAGACTGAGAGGGGACATGTTAGCAGTTTTTAAGTATCTAAAAGGGTGTTACTGGGAGGAGGGAGAAAAATTATTCTCCTTGGCCTGTGAGGATGGGACAAGAAGCAATGGGCTTAAATTGGGCAAGGAAGGTTTAGGTTGGACATTAGGAAAAATTTCCATCAGGGTGGTGAAACACTGGAATAAATTGCCCAGGGAGGTTGTGGAATCTCCATCGCTGGAGATATTAAGAGCAGGTTAGACAGACATCTATCAGGGATGAAATAGACAACACTTGGTCCTGCTGTGAGGGCAGGGGACTGCACTCGATGACCTCTCAAGGTCCCTTCCAATTCTAGTGTTCTGTGATTCTGAGTATCTGTCAAACTGTACCAGCTGTCAGAGGCTTGCTCCGACCAGAGCTGTACGTGGTGTGCCTGGAACAGACACCCAGTTGCCTTGTCCGGGATACAGACCGTTAAATCTTCCAGAGAAATGCTGAAAGCCCCCGGCCCTTCCATGTTACAAGGTTCGTTCTCCAACACGAGGGGTGGGGGAGTAAAACAGACAACGCCTCACTCGGGGCAGCACAGGCCGGTTTGGGTTAAAACCTGTTTAGGTTTGGCAATGTCAAAAATCAGGCTTATAATGGGAACCTAGATTCAACCTTCTCCCTATGCAGAGACTGGCACCCCTCCCTAGTCATGCCCAGTCCCTCCCGGACAGGGTGGATTTATATACGTGTGTGTGCTGCTTCTGGGATCGCGATCCAGATCTTCTGCACCTTCTACATGACCCAGCTCTGGTTTCCTCTTCACTTTCCCCATGGACAGTCAGACTCACCTGATCCCACCTGTGCACGTTACTGACAGCTTCAGCCTCCAGCTAATTTTCCCACTTACAGAGCTGGGGGGACTGGGGGAGAGTCAGTGGGTTTGCGGAGCTAGGAAGCGGATGCCGCTCCAGTTGCTTCTGCCATTTAGACGCCAGCCAGCGGGCGTCCGTCAGGGCTACCAGCAATCAACCCCCTTCCTGGTGGGTTGCCACCAAGCGGTCCCAAGTTTTGTACGTAGCGTCTCAGCCCAAGTTTCTAGCAAACTGGAGACCGGGGAAGAGGGGGGGTTGGTTTTGGGATTGCGACAGCTCGAGCTCTCACCACCAGCTCTGCCTCAGCTGCTCTGTTGGATTTCCTGGCGGCCAGGAGAACGTTCAGCACCGCCCGCCACCCGGGCTCCGCCTTCCCGGACGTCAGCTCCGATTGCTTGCCGGTGTCCTCCGAGGCGGCCTTCTCCTGCACGCCGTTGACCCAAGGGCACCAGTCGCGGTGCTGGGCACTGGGATCGAAGAAGCTTCTGGCGGAGGCATCCTGGAGAAGGGCGCGGGTCGGACACAGGGAGGGGAAGGACTTGTCTTAGCCAGGCCACGTACAACAACCCGACCCGGATTTTAAATCAGCCCCAACTCCAGCCTCCAAAGCCATGCGGAGGCCCCTCTCCAGGGCAGCAGAGGACACCTAGGACACGGGGGTTGTTCAGCTCCTGGGTTGTCTGGGGTAGGGTAGTTACACAAGCAGACACCCCCGCCCCCAGCCTGGCACTGCCCAGGGAAAGTCTCTAACAACTGCCAGTGAAAGAAGCCAAGGCAGTGGGCCCTGTAGCACCCCTCTCACCTCAGCCCCGAACTGGAGGGGCCATCTTCGGCCTCCGCAGACGGGGCGTGGAGACACTCTAAAGCCATGGGGTCCAACCAGTTGTGAAGCAGTTGTCAGTAAAGTGGCTAATGCTGCAGTGGACTAGCCACACTCAACCAGCCAAATAGCCACATTGATCAAGCTATGGATGTGAACGACTCGTCGCTTTCCACCCCCCCTCAGAAAAAGAGAGGAGGGGGTGCTTCAAAGCGGCAGCACCGCATGGAGCTCAGGGGCTTCCGCTTTGAAACGCCGCATGCAGCTCAGGGCCTGCTGGGAGTCTGGGCTGCAGGCGGCGTTTCAAAGCGGCAGTGCTGTGTGGAGCCGGGGTCAGCTGTGGACTCTCCCGCTGACCCTTGGCTCCATGCTGCACTGCCGCCTTGAAACACCACATACAGCCCAGGCTCCTTGCGGTATTTCGAAGTAGCAGTGCTGCATGGAGCTTCAGGGTCAGCTGGGGACTTCCCTGATGACCCCGGACTCCATTTGGCACTGCCTCTTTGAAACGCTGCAGGGAGCAGGGGCCAGCAGGGGTCTGCTTGAGTCCCCCTCTGGCCCCGTGCTCCCCGTAGAGCTTTTGCCTTTGAAGTGTAGCAAGAGCCTTGGGGTTGTTGCTACACTTCAAAGGTGGAAGCGCCCTTATTGACTAATGAAACAGTCAATGCAAATTGCATCTTGATCAGCCAATTAATCTAAATGTAACATCCCTAGTTCAAGCCAACTAGCCGCACTCAGCCGGCCAAAGAGCCATACGTGGCTAGCGTGTTGGACACCACGGCTCTAAAGAGACCAAATGGTGAGGGCCAGAGTGGTGCTTTGATACGGCGATCCTGTCCCATTACCGATGACCCTGATCCCTTACACAAAGGCCACCAGATGGGAGGGACTTCCATCACACCCAGAGCCCTCTGGATTCAAACCCACAGCTGTGCAGCGATGGGGAACATGGGCAGGGGAGAGAGACAGCGTGTGACAGACTGACAGCTGGACGCTGGGGAAGTCTGAGACACGGTGCACTGACTCACTGCCCAGAAGGCTTGCTCAGACCTTGGCTGCTCTGTCCGGCTCCCAGTGCCCTGCAGAGATGGGGTACAGAAGTGAGGGGAGTGGGACACCCTCACATCAGCACCCCCTTTCTCCTCCCGCTCTGCAGAGCCTGGAAGACGGTCCTGGGAGCAGCTGCAGGAGCCACGTGGCTGCGGAGCAGCAGGGGAAGGGCACCGGGGCATACACTGCCGCAGGGGCATGGCTCTGCTCATCGAGTGCCTGGCACCTGACTCACCCATGGGCGTTCGGCACAGAGGGAACGCAGCTGAGTGAGTGTGTGTGTGTGTGTGTGCGTGTTTGTTTTTTTCTCCCCTCTTCCGTGGATGCAGCCAGCACAGAGCAACACAAGGAAGAGGGAGCGAGTGGCAAAGACTTGGCCAGAGGCAGGGGAAACCTGAGCTGGGTTCCTGAGCGAAGAGCCTCTTGCATGTGCATGGAGTGAAAGAGTCAAGGCAACAGTGGCAGAAAGGGCCAGGTGGCGGCCGGGCAGCCCCTTCTGGTGGAATGGCACCGCCACGGACCCACGTGGCTGGGGGGAGGGAGGGCAGAGGAAGCAGAGATGCCGCTGGCCCATGCCAAGCTACCCTGGAGGCTCTCCAGGTGGTCTCCTCCACAAGGGCCACTGCCAGGGCCCCCACCAGGCGTCAGCTGCAGCGCGAGCGGCGAGTCCTCCCGTTCGTTCAGCCCCCAGGGCACGTGGCCGGGCACTCACCGAGCTGCTGGAAGAGCAGAGGCGCGCCCGCTTGGCTCTCCGCAGAGATGCCGCTGGCCCATGCCAAGCTACCCTGGAGGCTCTCCAGGTGGTCTCCTCCACAAGGGCCACTGCCAGGGCCCCCACCAGGCGTCAGCTGCAGCGCGAGCGGCGAGTCCTCCCGTTCGTTCAGCCCCCAGGGCACGTGGCCGGGCACTCACCGAGCTGCTGGAAGAGCAGAGGCGCGCCCGCTTGGCTCTCCGGTGCGGGCTGGACGGCACCTCCATGCTGTCCCCCTGCCCCATGCTGCGGGTTACCGGGCGGCTCCTC